TGGTCCAATTCCCCATCTCCCCCCACCACCACACATAGGTGGATGCCCGAGGCCACCACCCTGTTTGGCCTTCTGCACGACGTTGGTTTCATATTTCTTGACTAACTCAAACATTCAACCCCAAGATGTTCATTTCCTTCAGGACACCTTGGGAACTATTTATTCCACTTTCCAAATCTCCAAATGTTCTCTATAAAACCCCCAAATGAAGGGTCATTTTACATCATTACCTCGTCCTTTTCGATTTATCGACCGTTGAAAACCATCTTTAATTTTCTGTTCAACGGTTCAACAGTTGAATTAACTCACCAACATTGGTCATACTTTTAGTCCGAGTTCCCTCGCCTTCCACCCACCCATCCTGTGCGGCGCTGTCACGTGACCACGCTACTGGGTGGTCCCAGGAGACATTTTGGCTCGCGTGGAGCTGGCGCAGAGCCAACATGGCCAGTAAACAACAACAGCGTCGAGTTGAAGGCAACTGGCTTTGAGCAGCGGCCTTGCTGTCTGCTGTTGCTTCTAGGGAAGCACGATTAAGACACATCGGCGTGCTTTCCAACAATGCGTCGATTGTGTGATTGGTGAGTACCCCGCCGCCTCATGACTTGCGAGCGAATACATTCGTTGCCATTATCTCGCTCGCTTGACTACCGCCATGTAATTAGCGGTAGGCTAATGGTAGCCACGCTAGTTAAGTTAGCCTGAATCGTTGCGAAGCTTCGCTAAGTAGATTACATTGCGACGCACACGCGGATTTGAAGTGGTTCTTAATGACCATCAAGCTGCGTCGTGGGAATGTTTGTATTCAACGAGTAGCTTGTGAGTAATTTGAGCCACGTAAAACCCGAGCCAGGTATGCTTCTAATGTTAGCGGGCTAATGTTGCGCTAGCCATTCGATGTACTGTACGTACTGCTCGCTTCATTTGGTTCAACGATATACGGACGAATCGGCATTACGGAAACTAAGAGTTGTTAATTTGGTTGTAGTTTAGGCTCACGGTTAGCATTTAAAATGGCGTACGCCGTGTAATGTTGATGTATTTGTTGGTGCAAATGGTGAGCAACATTTAACCAGCAAACGTGTTAACAATCTAAAAGTGTAACATCGCTTCCTGCCAGACACTAACAGCATATGGTTACCCGTATAAAACCGCTCACGAACGTTTTTTACGTCGGTTTAATATGTATATTATTCTGAACAACGACCACGTTTAAGATCGTTATACGATATACGCCAATGCATCAAATAATCTACACTAATTTTGCGCACTGGGGTAGAAGTGTATTGGATCTAAATCTAGAGCTGTTCCTAATCTGTTTGACTCTCATACAACGGAGGTAACTAATTTATTACTCACAGCTCTTTATATAGAATAGAATATTTTCTTTCTTCGTTCCATAGAGGGGAAATTCAAGATAACGCGGGGCAGCAATAGCTTTCTGAATGGAGACCGTATGATACAGCTCTTGTATTGGATCTCACTTTGTTATGCAAGTGATCGTAATTATGTTCAAGTAATAATTACTGCTCATATCTGATTGTCACCCTCAGACTGATAATCCATCTGGTGGGACCTCGTCCTGTGTATTAGAGCAATGTCTTCCCAGCAGCCTAACAGCTCAGCACCCAACAGCCCTACCAATGTCATTGGTTCTCCGTTCTCTGTCAACTCTCCAATGGTGTCACCCTCTCTAGGATTTGGACCCATCAGCCACAGCCAGGTAAATGGACATTAAAATCAAAACAGGGTTATGCTCTGGCACTCTGGCCTTTATGTGCTTTTCATGTATGCATTTCATCATCAGTCAAGATCTATTTGTGTATTTAAAGAAAATATTTTTAATCAGATACCTGTATGTATAATTTCCCTGCTGTATTGTGCTCCCATTATGCCGCAATATTTGTAAAGCAATCATTATTTTATGGGTTCTTACAGTGTACTTCTTGTAATGCCTCTGCTTGTGGGATAGGAGAGCCACAATCTCTGATGCACTGTTACTGTTCGATGTGTATTGAATGCAGTGAGAACAGTAAAACGCATCAATACAATGAGCACACAGAAGGTCCTGTCGACCACAGCTCACACCCAAACACTCACATGCAGACTCGCTGATGTGACATACCACTTCTTTGGCCCTTTCTCTTAAAGGCACCTCTGTGTATTCAACACAGACACTACAATATGTAGAGTAGATTTAAAACATTTTATGCTTGCTTTTTTGTGTGTTCTGATATATTTGTGTTTAAAAAATATGTTTTAATAAGCATAGGTGTGCTGTGGATCTCTGCTATTAATAGGCACCAGGCTGGCCTACAAATACATGAATAATTGCTGCCCATTATAATTGCACAGAATTTTTTTTTTCCCCTTCACATGTCAATTCTCTCTGTGATTCATATCGGTCCAGCGCTCAGCTTCAGGTGCCATGTCAGGGATGCATTCAATCAGCAGCTCAGAGGACATCAAACCTCCGTTCGGTCTGAGGCCCATGTCTGCGCACAGTCCTGGAATCATGTTGTCTCAGAAGCGCCTGTGCGTCATTTGTGGAGATCGTTCATCTGGTGAGTGAATGAACCGCACCATTCTTTCCATTTGAAAGACAACCCGTGTGTGCTGCTTATACTGTAAATATTTGTTTGGGCTTATCTCCTCATTTCTCATCACGCCTGTGCTTTTTATGCACTAGGCAAGCACTACGGCGTCTACAGCTGCGAGGGCTGCAAAGGTTTTTTCAAGAGGACGGTCCGCAAAGACTTGAGCTACACGTGCAGGGACAACAAGGAGTGCCTGGTGGACAAACGCCAGCGCAACCGCTGCCAGTACTGCCGCTACCAGAAGTGCCTGGCCATGGGCATGAAGAGGGAAGGTATGCAGGTTTTGTATTGCAAAGCATGTCTCGCAAAGTAATAAAACAAAAACAGTAAAGTAACATCAACAACAAAACTAAACAAAACTAAACAAAAAAGGCTAACTAGCCAAGCAGTGGAAGAGGTGAAAAGCACCAGGTTGCAAAATGTCTTGCGTTAGTTTATCGCCCTGTGGAATTGAACGGCGTTCTTATAGTCGTAGCACTTAAAACGGTCTAGAAATGTGGTAGAGGATGCAGCGGGTTGGGCTTATATATCTAACCCCTGTCTTCCCTTCATTTTCCCAATTCTTCCCTTTCTCCATCTTTCAATAGTGGTAAGGTGGATAAAAGAAGATGGAAAAGATGAGGGTTGGATGAGTATGTCATTGACATTTTAAAGCTACTCTTTGTACTGTAATGTGTCTTAGATTTGGTGTGGTCTTATTAAACACGTAGTGCTTAAATTACAGAGACATCAAGGATGATGTTTTGGATAGCTGAACATTCACTCATTAGGTCAGAGTATGTGCATGTACAACTGATTAATCTATCTTCATCACAGCTTTGCGACTATCAAAATTACAGGAACGATTCAAATCCAATAGTAAAGAAAATATTTCCAAGATTTTGTTGCAAGCGTTCGAGTTACTATTCACACTTAGAACGGCAGAACGGAACAGAACTAACAAATGAATGTGATTTGTCACAGTTTTGTTCTCAAGTTGACCAGATAATAACTTGTAACTTAATTTCTATCAATTGCAAAATAACAATATGAAGTAGTGTTGGGTGATATGGACAAAAAAAAAATGCCATCACGGGGTAGGCCATTTAATATCACGATAACATTATGTAATTATATTTTCAGTCATAATAGTGCAGTAGTGCTGCTATATAAAATGATCAAATGAGTGGGAGGGGAGGAGTTGTGTGTGCATGCAAGCTAGCGTGTGCGCCTGCAGCTCTCCTTAGTGTCACTAATTACACTGCTACCAAAAATTAGAAAAATGAAAGTAATCATTGTGTGATATAAAATTAAGCTATTATGTTGTATTTGGGAAGATATTTGCAGATTTGGAGTATTTAGTAGTAGTCGATGTTTAAATGTTTAGAATATGAATAAAACCTTTTTTTTCACCCGATACCGGGTCAGCTGAAAGTCCCGCCACCGTCCCTGATTTCCAATCATATGATCGGATTGGGATATCTCTATTAACTTTTAACAGAAATTTGTATTTGTGCTGGTGACACAGTGGAAGACTGGTTAGCACGTCTGCCTCACAGTGCAGACGTGCAAGGTTCGATTCCGGCTCTGGCCTTCATGTGTGTTTGCATGTTCTCCCCGTGCCTGTGTTTTTTTTTTTTTTTTTTCCCCAGATATTCCGGTTTCCTCCCACATTCCAAAAACATGCATGGCAGGTTGATTGGGCACTCTAAATTGTCCTTAGGTGTGATTGTGAGCACAATGTGGTTGTCCGTCGATGTGCGCCCTGCGATTGGCTGGCAACCAGTTTAGAGTGTCCCCCGCCTTCTGTCCGAAGACAACTGGGATAGGCTCCAGCGCGCTCGCGACCCTTGTGAAGATAAGCGGATTTGAAAATGGATGGTTGTATTTGTGTTTGAAATTGCCCCATCGCAAATGATCCTCGACAAAAAAATATTGTTTGCTCCTATTCACGATGTTAATGTAAGAATTGAAAATTGTTGACTTTATAAAAAAGGAAAATAGTTGTTCATTATATCGTCAGATTTTTATTGTTTAATAAAATCCTTACTTCGGGCCCCTTCGATAAACTTGCAAATAATTGCTTCTCAAACTTAGAATGTTGCTCCTCAAATTAAGTCATTGATTAGCAAAACAGTTCCTAGAAATTAGTTATTTCAAGGCTTGCTAGACCAATTCAAAGAAAGGAAATATGAGTAGCTGGCAATCTCTATCCAAATTGTTATAGTGGTAAAAAAAAAAATCTTTTGCCATTTATTTTCTTCTCGTTTTTTATGCGCAGTTTTTTGAAGTGGCGGATTTTGTCTAGCTCAGGAATTATTTTAGTATATCTTAAGTACTTAAATGTATATATTTGTAACGTAAGTCATATGAATGAGAACCTTCTGTTCCTGCACACGTATGGATTTCTCCGACTTGCGTTTAAACACGAATGGTAACCATCTTCTCTAAATCACTCTTTCCCACCTTGTGTAATGCAGCGGTTCAGGAAGAGCGCCAGAGAAACCGCGAGCGGGAGGGCGAGCTGGAATTCAGCATGGGCATAAACGAGGAGATGCCGGTGGAGAAGATCTTGGAGGCGGAGACTGCGGTGGAGTTGAAGACTGAGCTCCACTCCGACGGAGGCTCCGCTGGCAACTCTGTGAGTGTACGCGACCGCTTCTTGTCACACAACACGGAAAAAACGTTTTGGTTGTACATTTGCCTAAAAAGGACTATATCAATTTGGAACAAAGTGAA